AAAATTTAAAAAACCTGATTTTTGAAAGTTGAAACTTGTTTTTGTATTTTTGAAATGATGTAAAGTAAAATGCCGAGATATGTATTGTTCCCTTTTAATTGTCCAAGGGTCCAGGATTTCAGGGCTTCAACAGATTCATAAATGGGCCGAGGCTTTGATGGTCCAATGAGTCGAACTTACCCATCCATTCGAACAGGGCCTACTACCCGGGCTAGGCTTGATTTTGCTTCTTTCCTAAATCTTTATTTTTTCTAAGTTTGTTGAAACTTTCCTCGTATTATCCATTTCATATCAATTCTAAAACGGAGTAAATTTTTCGGTCAATCATCTGTCAAAATGACATCTTTTGAATTGGTCAAAGAAATTACAAAAAAAAAAAAAAAAATGGAATTCACCCAATATAAAATAACAAATTCAACAACAAAGATGAAAGATACAATTCAATAACAAAATACACCTCTTTCTTGGCCCACACAAATTTTAACCTAAGCAAGTACAACGCATGACGAAATTGTGAACGATAATAAAAGGGTTTTGTTCATCATACACAAATGGGCGTTGCTCGAATTTCACTCGAATAGACGTAAGAAATGCTGGAATCCAAAAATCGTCTAACATCTCACAACAGTAAGTTGAAATTCAAGAACTTGAAATTAATTGCCAACGCAAGAAGAACAACACAGATATACAGGAATCGATACAAAACACAAAGAGGCAAGACCATTAATTTCAAATTAATAAAGTTACGAAGGAAATACAAATTGAAAGTTCCTAAACCCTTTTTTATGGACAAATATTAAAAATGAAAAATATGCCTACTATTAATATGTCAGTGAATGTCATGAATCTAACAAACATTTTATCTTACTAATTGAGAACAAACAAAAGCAAATTTCACTGCACAATCCAAAGTCCTATAACTCAAAGATTGATGAATTTGGACAATTTTGAGAATTGGATAAGAGATTGAAATGAGTTATTTGCCTAGGTCACATAAATCTAAAATTGAAATTTCAAATTTGTAGAGTTAAAATTATTAAAATAGAGGCATTGAGAACTTATTTTAAACATCGACTCTCTAAAATAGAATGCACATTGTATTTATAGAGTTTTGTAAATGCTTTAAAGTTTAGATTACTTGTCTTAACAATGTTAACATTTCAAAATGAAATCTCAAATTTTAATATCATATCGTCTGTCAGAGCCCAAAAAGCTCCCATGCGCAATACTTTTTGTCTAAAGCTCAAACTAGGAATTGCAATCCAAGATTGTTGTTTTAAACGAATCACCATTTTGCAGGGTATGTTTAGTGATAAATTCCTACCGATTACACATGTTTTTAATAACAAAAATATAAAGACTTGGATTACTTCTTTTGACAAGATTGACCTTTTAATATGAAATTTCAAGTTCCAACAGACTTGCAAGTTGCACATATATAAACAAATTTTGATATAAATATGAAAAAAACAGACCATGAAATTTTTGTTCTCTTTTTCTTTAGGCCAGAGCTGTGAATTCCCAAAACAGATTGGTTCTAGTACCATTCAATTCTTAGGGATAAGAAGGATCCCCTGGGAAGACTTGAGTAGTTACTTCATTAGCCGGAAGGAATTAGTCTCCACTAGTGTCATGGATCAATCACAAATGTAGGAAGGAACTGGTTGATATAAGAAGATCTCTGACCATATGGGCTTAAGTTGAGTATAGTTCTAAGCTATAGTCATATCCCACTATCTAAGATTTGGAACTTCTTATTCAAGTAGCTTTCGAAGCACGTGCCGCGGCGCTTTCATTCCCTTCGTCTCGTGTGGTGTAAGCTAGATGCTTTTGGGAGGAGAGATAATATTTCACCAATCGAGTCATAGGTATCTAACATATTCATATCCATTCTATTAGGAAGAAACAAGTTTAAATTACTTTGGTCCGTGAAACCTAGAAGATAGGGAAGTCACTATATCCACACATTTCTTTCAAAATGACAAATGGAGTAGCAGAGACTCATTTGGTTGTCAAATGTCTTCTACTCTTCTTATGCTCCAATATCTTTAATTCTATCTTTCTCCATGTGGTCTTGGACCACATGCTGAGATATTTCTGAAAATCTACATAAACCCTAATCATACTTCAAATTTCTAAAAACTTTTCTAATTTCTTGTGAAAATTGCAATTAATGAGTAGTGGTAAAGATAAGATAACGAAACATGCTCATAATCTTTTTATTTTCGATGTAGAGAAAATTATGTATCTTCCAACGGGAGAAAACTGCCCGATTACATAATTAGGTTGATTGCGGAATAAAGTTAGCTCCTGTTTGGTCTTCATTTTTCTAAAACTCATTTTTCTCAAATTTATTTTCAAGCATGTATTTTATAGGACCTACAATTGTTATCAACACACTTTATTGAATCTACAAATTTCATCGGCTTTTATCAAAATTTACTCTGCATCAAACAGAGGCTAAATTTGGTCATCTATGCATGTCTGGCGTAAGTAATGTACGTAGAAGGATACATTAACGAATGTTGCAAAAGAATACATTAGTAATCAACAGGAACATATATTTACTGGATATTGCGATAAACAACAATGCGCAATTAATAAATGTGATGTTTACATGTTTCATAAAGCTATTTTACTTGTAGATATCGAACTAATGGCAACTCGCATTTCTCATGTTAAGTTGGAGCGATGATATTATCTCGCATTAAAACCAGCATTTTCCATTTCTTTCGCTTCTGGTATTCTATTTCTTTCGAAGAATATCCTTCTTAATTCATTGAAAAGAGAGTTCTTGTTTTTTTCTGAGAAAAGATCATCAATCATGTGCAGCACAGCCCAGAATCTGTCGTTTTTTTCCCTCAGTATGCAAGGCATGGAAAAGTGACGTACCAAATCACTAAACAATTATCAAAAATATCTTTGCTATAGTGGTCTATGTATGACTTCACAATAAATTTGAAGTCAACTAGGTGAATATTTTTTCTCCACTGGGTTAAATTCACTGCTAGATGCACTGGCTATAATGGTCTATATAAATGGATAGAACCATATCAAAATTATACACATTGGCAAATATTTTTTCACTCTTTACACTTCATATCAAAATGTTTATCCCTTCGCTATTCATCTTTTCACTTCTCTTTGCCTCCTCTCAGGCTTCAGTGGTCGACTTCTGCGTTGCAGACCTATCGTTGCCCAATGGACCTGCAGGCTATTCTTGCAAGAAACCTTCTACTGTCACAGAGAACGATTTCGCATACTCAGGCCTAGTTCCCGGAAACACATCCAATATCATCAAAGCTGCCGTGACCCCGGCTTTTGATGCCCAATTTCCCGGTGTCAACGGCCTTGGCATTTCCATTGCGCGGATAGACCTGGCCGTAGATGGTGTAATACCAATGCACACACACCCTGGGGCATCAGAAATCCTCATTGTCATCCAGGGGACAATCTGCGCAGGCTTCATATCGTCTTTTGACAACGTTATCTACCTCAAAACCCTTTACAAGGGAGATGTTATGGTATTCCCACAAGGATTATTGCACTTCCAAATCAATTCTGGCACCACCACTGCTCTAGCATATGCTAGCTTTGGCAGTGCTAATCCAGGTCTTCAAATCGTAGACTTTGCTTTCTTTAAGAATAATTTGCCAACTGAATTGTTGGCCAAGACAACTTTCCTTGATATTGCTCAAATCAAGAAACTTAAGGCTGTTCTTGGTGGCACTAACTGATAATAATCTGTCACTTGTTGGGACAATAATGTTTCATTTTTAGTCTTGTGTTGTGTCAATCTTGATCATTATTATTGTATTGTAGCAGTGTGAAATTGTGTTGGGTTTTTTCTAGAGTCTGTCAAAGTTTCTGCTTCGTAATTTGATTTTAGCTGCCAAATGTCAGATTGTTGAGAATTATATATGTTGATTTGGTTCAATTGGAATTTGTGTAGATAACTTGTGTAGATTGTTGAGATTGTTGAGATTTTAGTTGCCCCGTTTGTCTACTAATATTTCAAAAAATTGTTTGCTACAGTAAGATTTTTCACTACACATTCACCCAATAAAATATTCTACACACAAACCAATAAAGTTATTTTACTTTTCAACCATACATTCTTCAAAAAATATTATTCATTACTCTATTTTTCTCCCAATAATGGAAGACAAACACACCAATGAATATTACATGATAAGTGATAACACCTTCAACAAAATTACAGAATAAATATCTTGTAGAATATTTTTAGAACAAAACATTGATATTTACTGCAATAAGAAATCTAACGAAATTAATTTTACATTCAAACTAGTTAAGCCCCCGTTTGACATCATTAAAATTTTAAAAATCTAGTTTTGAATAGTATTTTTTGGAGAATGTGTAGTTAAAAAAAAGTAGGAAAATTTTTTCAGTTTACGTGTAAAATATTTTATTGTGTAAATGTGTAGTTGAAAATAAGTACGAGATATAAATTAAACCCTGTTTGTTGGCCTTTAATTTGAAAAAATTATGATTTGAATAGTATTTTTTGGAGAACGTGTGGTTAAAAAATAGAAAAAAAATTTAGGTTTACGTGTAGAATATTTTATTATGTGAATGTGTGATCGAAAATGAGTATGCAAAACAAATTGAAGTAAAGCAAATTAAATTAAAGACCACCAAACAAGGACTAAATTAAAGTAAAAAATGTCTGAACCGTGCTAGATGAAAGGGCCAGTCCCTTTCCATCTCGCCAATAGGGGGCGTCAGCGACATCGTCCCCCTATTTGAAGAGGGTCCGTCCCTGTTCAATCAACTTTACTTTACTGAAGAATGTCTAATAGGGGTTAAAGTGTAAATTTAGGGCCCGTTTGATTCTTATTATTGTAGAATGAGAATAAAAAATATAGTCGTTATTGGATCCTACACGAGTGATAGAAATTCAAAATTGATGGTTTGATGTGATGGATAACGGTTATATTTTTCATTTTTATGGATGAAAAATAAGAAATAAACGGAGGCTTAGATACTAGAGTAAAAGACCTACAATGGTGGAGAATTTCAAGGGAACAATAGTACATTGTAATATATTCCTCGACGGCCTAAACTCAACCATAATAAACTCTTTCAAACAAAATTTTAGTCAAATCACTAAAGATTCAATACTGCACTATAGAGTTACAAGTTTAAATAAAGACATTTAGAACTAGATAATAAGATCGAGAAGCTCAACAATCTATTTCAATTTAAATATGTTCAATAGTCGGACATACTAAGATCAAGAAGCTCAACCATATATTACTTATGTTACTCTTATTTTTGGTTCAACCAACATCATCTACGAAACACTACAATTGCCGCCATTGCACCATCTATCGCTATCTCCAAACCACTGTCTGCCACCACTATTACAAAACATGGGTAACAGATTAAGTTACATATGTAAAACTACTCTACCACCATCACAAAACCTGAGTAACACATTATGTTACTCATCTAAAATCATTCCCATTGTCACCACAAAACACAAATTATATAACCCATTTGAAACCATTCTCACACCACATGAACCGCCACTAAACATGAATAACACATTATGTTACACATTTGAAACCATTTCATCATTAGCAAATTGTATTATGCAACGTATAGAAAAGGCCAGCCCAAGTCGTAATCTAACTGAACTGAATCAGCTAAGAGCATCTCTAAGAGATTCTTTTTAAATTATCATTTTAATTTAGAGAGTGACTTCACTTTTTAAATTTGGAGAGTCAAACACACTCTTTATAATTAAACGCATTCAAAGTATTTCAATTGTCAATGGAGAAAATTAATATAATAATTTGGAGGAAAGCTAGTGAAAATAAAAGAGAGGGAAAAACAATAAAAATCTTTGAGAATATTAAAATGAAGTGTTAAATATAAATAGTCTATTAGAGTATTTAAAAAATTTTACTCTCTAAATTTATAACTACTCTCTAAATTGTAGAAGTGGAAATTATACCCACTAGTTTTAAACTATATAATTCAAAATTCAGATTTAAAAGTTATCTTTTTAAAAATAAGATATAAATCAAATTTTAAGTATTAACAATAATATTATAAAAATTAAATTATTCTACATATTCAACCCACCATTTTCTACCCTAACCAAACCCTAATTATTTCCCCATTCTCTCTCTCTCTCTACCCATTTTTCCCAACACTTCAAGAACTACACAACAAACCTACACATATACAGATACAGATATAGATATAAATGCATGTATGTGTAATAAAAATTCTCTCTCTCTCTCTCTCTCTCTCTCTCTCTCTCTACATATCTATTCTCTCTCTCCCCCAACCTCTTTATGACTCTATTGGAGGTCGGTCTGTGCGAAGAGATCTCTCTCTTCCCAGCCTCTTTCTTTCTCTTCCCACCTAGACCTCTGCGCGAAAATGCATGTTGGAGTGCCGCACGAGGTGTTATAGCTACAGTTCACTGGTGTTGCAACAACACATAGATTACAGTGTTGCCTTTTCGGTGGCATATAACACTAAAGAAATCGATGTGGAGATTATAACGCTATTGATTTATTAAGGTCGTGGCAGACAACGATGATTTGGGAATTTTTTGTGGAGGTGGTGTTGTGGAAACAGAGATAGAGGAGGTGATTTTGTGGTTTTTGGCGGGCCGTGATGGTGAGATGTTGGTGGCAATTGCCGTGGTTGTGGATCGGATGTTGCGGTGGTGGCAATGTTGGTGGCGGGCTGACAGTGACTGTAATAATTTTGAATATTATTTTTTAGTGGTGTTTGGATGGTGGTAGTGGCGTCGATGTTGGCTATGGTGTTGAAGATGACGGTTTCCACAAAGATGTGACTTGTGGCAGTGGTAAGGTGGTGGTCACAAATAATTTGATTATTTGTGACCAATAAATTAGTTAATGTTTGACCGATAAATAATATGTGATCAATAAAATATATAAAGTGATTAATAAATAATGTGTAACCTAAAATTTGTTAATTTGTAACAAATAATTTGATACTTTGTGATTTAAAATCAATTTATGATTAATTAATTAATTAGATATTTGTGACCACGAATTAAGTTGTGACTTATAAAATTTGTGATTTGTAATCAATGATGACCTACGATATTTTTGATTTGTGTAAAATAATTTGTGATCTATAACTTCTTTATTGTGACCGAGAAATAATTTGTGACCAAATTGTATAATACCGTGACCTTAATATATTTAATTAATTAGTTTATAAATAATTTTTTTAAAAAATCTGATATTTGAAAATTTAAAATCCGTTTCTTAATTTTGAAATGTGTCATGCTTAATCTCTTACATATGAATTTTTTCCATTGTAGAATATGCTCTTTAAAAGATGGGGAGACTCTCTCGGAGTTGTTGAGGCCTACTGGACTTACATAAACAGATACTCAAAAGCAAGCCCATGTCCATTTAAATAACAACGAAACTCCTCGTCGGGTCTTTAATTAATCAGGGTTAATGGAGGGCGGGAGTTGAAATACGGGTTAGGGTTTGAACAAGGGCCTCTTCAGTTAACTAAGTTTGTCAGACGGCATCTCGTTTTAACCGAAACCTAGAGGAATAAAGAATCAGTTCAGCTCTTTTTCGTACATATATGTATGTATATGAATTCATATTCATGCAATTTTGAATCTTTTTTATAATTTTGATATGTAAGCATCTCGTTGTTAATAGTCTATATTAATTTGCTTGTTAATTTGCCTAATAATTTGCTTCAGACCTGCTGTAGTAAGCTGGTGGAGTGTAAAAAAGACGAATGGGACTAGAATTGGCACCTGAGCAAGAACACGTGTTGCCTGACATGGAGGAGCTTAGTTTCACTGATTCAGAGTTGGAATATCATGTTAGGAATGCCCTTAAAGCTGCTGTTCAGGTTAAAATGGATTGAAGTACTCGAATTTCGGCTTTCTTGAAATTGTTAATTATGCTTAAGTATTCGGTTACATTTATGGTGGAGTAATGAGAGTGAAGTTTACTGTTATAGGGCGACCATGACTTCTATAATCAGCTTGTAGCAGTGATGCATTACAAAGAACGGCTAATCCCTGAGGAAGTGGCCCTTCTTGTGGTATGTTATAATTCGTTGATAATTTCGAGTGACACATCTCATTTTATCTTAGCAATTTGCTTCATAATTCTTATCATTGTTATTTTGTGGCAGACATGCTTGAAAGCTCTGACTGGAGCAGTTTCTTGTATAAGCATTGTTCACCATCAGCGGCTTCTCGCTGCCGTGAGTTACTAAAAATGTACAAGATTACATGTTCATGCGTGAGTAGAGTTTCCATCGGCGATTACTATCAATTTAAACCATTAAATTCAAATCCGTAGATTGATGAGATACCAAGAATCAAGAGTTCGCTGATTGCATAATTTAATTTTGTCAAATCCTATTTCAGGACACATGAATATATCCGCTTTAAAAAGAGAGAGCACTAAATCAATTAAATACTTCTTCCATAGGTTTATTTTTGGGGTTGTGGAGCTCTTTTGGATGAGAAGTTAGTTGAGGGAATATGAGAACTATGTTGACCTACTAAAGCTAACAAGCATGTGCATATCAGAATAGATGGAGAACCACATTTGCAATGGTTATTTTCATAGAGGGACATAGAAAAAATAAAAATTAATGAGGGCAAGCCGGCAAGGTGGTTCTTAATGGAACTTACGGTGTTTTTTTTGTTATAGCTTCCAAAGCTAGTCCCCTTGCAAGT